GCACTGCTATCCTTCCCCTCAGAGCAACCTTCTCCTGTGTGTCTGTCTTTTTATTGCCTTTTTATTCTACCTTCTCATTGGCTCTAAACCCAACCACATGATTTCCTCATCGCTGCCTATCTATATAGATCTCCAGGTCTCTATGGTTGGTACTGGGATTAAAGATGTATGTCACCGTGCTTGGCTGTGTCCTTGAACACACAGAGACTCTGCCTGCCATGTGATCAGATTAAGGGCGTGTGCTACCACTGCCAGACTTCTGCTTAATGGCTATGAACTCTGATCTCCAGACAACTTTATTTGTTAACATACAAATAAAATCACATTTCAGCACAAATAAAATATCACCATACAGGGTTCACTGGTCATCCAATCTGACCAAACTGATTCAGTGAGAGGTCCTGTCTCAATAATTAAGCAGAAAGCAGTTGAGGACACTTCAGTTGACCTCTGGCCTCCACATAAATGAGAACCAGCACACATGAAAACACAAAAACTAGCCAGATAGTGGTAGTGCATACCTTTCAGTCCTAGCACTTCGGAGGCAGAGGCTGGTGGATCTCTGAGTTCAAGGACTGCCTGGTATACAGTGCTAGTTCCAGGACAACCAGGGCTACACAGAGAAACCTTGTCTCAGAAAACAAACAAACAAAAACCAAACTAAAGTACCATCATTCTGTCACTCACACTCATCAGTTGGTGTGATAACAAGAACTAGAAAGAAGACATTCAGTTTTCCTCCAGGAAGACATTTGGTGTCTAGTGTGAAAGGTAGGGAGACTCACATATTCTTGGAGAGACTAGAACCAGCCACCCCGAGTGGAAGAAAGAGTGCTGACACCACAGATTCAGAGATCCAGTTTAGATACCTTGCACAAAGTCCCAGACAGCTCACACGGACACTCAGTGTGTCCTTTCTAAGGGTAGAGATTAAATCCAGCATCTGTTTCTTATGTGGAATGTTGGAAGTTTTACCTCCTCTAACCTAACCAGTTGGGAAAATCATGAGAATGAAGAAAGAAAAGGTAGTGGTAAAAAGAAATAAAGAAAACTGGTATATTGCCTGACTTAGTTTTTGCTGTCGTTTTTTGAAACAAGGTCTCCCTAGGTAACTTAAGCTGATTTTGTCCTCACAGTCCACCTGTATCAGCTTCCCCCCATGACACCCAAATGCACTTAAGTCTTCTGTAAGATGGGATGGCCTTAACAGCACTAGAAGGGGTTTCAAGAAGGCACTTGAAACACAGAGGGGTGGGTACTGTCTGGGAGATTCCCTGGACGTCAGTGTGGCTGAATGAGGTTGATCAACTGATACTGACTGCAGTGGAGAACACAGAAGGGTTTTCTGAAATACTTCCATTCATTTCCCAAGCAACAAAGCTGGCATAGCCAAAGGCTGTAAAACTATAGATGATTTCCCTCTAGTAATGATTGTTTCTTCTGTGGATCTAATACAGGAAGAAGCTCATGGTTGGATGCATTGTTTGAACATGTGATCTGCAGCATGTCTGGAGAGATGGGGCTCTATACTAGACTGCAGCTATCCTCAAGACTTGCATTTTGAGATTTGTAGCTTCCTGGCTGCTCTAATATTGATTCACATCTTTTTTATTATATTCTTTGAATTTTTCTAGTATCATCAAGTATTGTTTGTGACTACTATTTTTGTCATTCTCCTGTCAATATTGTTGTAGTTTTGATGAGAGTGGCCCCCATAAAATAATATATTTGAATATTGGTTCTCAGTTGCTGGACTGTTGGAAAGGTTGAGGTATGGTCTTGTTGGAGTAGAGGTGGCCTTGGTGTGGAGAATGTGTGCCAACAGAGGTGGACTTTGAAGTTTCAAAAGCTCACACCGGGCCATCTCTGTCTCTTTGCCTGCTGCCTGTGGATCAGGGTATAGCCCTCAGCTTCTCTAGCACCATGTCTGCCTACATGTTGTGATGCTCCCCATTGAGATGATAATGAACTATGTCTTTGAAACTTAAGCCCTCAGTTAAATTCTTTCCTTTAAATTAGCTGCCTGGGAGGTGGTGGCTCATGCCTTGGATCCCAGCTCTTTGGAGACAGAGGTAGGTGAATCTCTGAGTTAAGGCCAGCTGGT